ACTAGCACCACCCACATTTTCTCCAAAAGGCCCTATACCAAATAAAGGGCACCGGACACAGGAGTGTTTCAACTTCACTGCTTGGATAGCAGGAGTAGTTTGAGGGGCAGGTTCCTGCTAAAACAAAAGCTCAAACACACCTTTCAGTCCCTCCAGAGCTAAGCAATTGTTTCTGCACTATTCCACATGCAGAAGAAAGAATGAAGTTCTCTTCTATTGTGCCACTACTAAAATAAAATTCTTGTTCAAATGGTATTAGACTCTGGGAGAATATATATCTAGTATGATTACAGTAGCAAACAGTGAGTCAGAATTTGCTGGTGCTATTCCTGGCTCTACCAGTAACCCATTGTATGCCTACAGCCAAATCACTTTAGGGGGCATTTGTGAAAGTAGGCCAGTCAGCAGGTTATTTTATAAGATCTGACTGAAAAAAGCTGGGAAGACCTGGAAGAGGTGGGATATATTATCTTTTTTTCATTCTATTCTTTCATTTTGTAGAAAAGCTTACACATAAAGTTGAATAACATGCTGAAACTAAAATATTCAAAATATGCCAGGCTTATGCTCTCCATTTGAGTGGCTGACTATTCTTACTCGAAATTAACTTTTCTTTCTCTTGCATCTGAACCCTTACAGCTTCAGGGCAAATTCACTGATTTTGCCTTAACTTTTAAACTGTCATATCTCCATTCTTATGCTGCCTTCAAACAGTTTGTCCTCTAAAATGGTAAGCACTCTTACACAGAGAATAAGAGTTTATTAATGTGTTTGACTGGAGCTATAAATCAAAGATTCCTAGAGCCATGCGTATATAAAGCAAGGAAAACTGGTTTTCCAATCTAAAACTAGTAGTAACTATTCTTGTTATTTTGGGACTACTCATCATCCTAAAAAGGAACAGATTTCTTTCCAAATATGCTGAAATTCTAACTATTTAAAGGCATCAAGACAGTGGGCCCACATGGAGTCTGTTTAGTTTCCCTCTCTTTCTCTACATGAATTACTCTTCTTCCACTATCTTTAATTTTTATTTAAGACTACAGTACTTCCTATTCAGTGACAGATGAGAAAAAAAACAAACCAAACAAACAAAAAAAATCCACTCTTTCCTCCCCTCCCCCCCCCACCAAAAAAAGGTAAAAATATTTCTAACCAAACCAATAAAAATCCCTCAATTCTGAGGGACGCAGTGGTCAAATAACCTGAATGACATCATATAATTATTAACATGAAACTCAATCTAAGGACATTTGTCCTTTCAGAACAGCTTAACACAAAGGGCTGTGTACCAACCAGCACAAGGCTGAGGACTAATTTATTTTCAGGATCAGATCTGGAGGCAGGGAAGCTAGATGACACACAGATGAAAGATGAGGAGTTACAGGCAAGAGATCTCACAGTGACTGGTTTCGCCAAGGGAAATCATGTTAGCATTGTAAAACTGACAACAGGATCTCTGGGATGTCAGCAGCAGCAAGGTCTTTCACAGTCGTGATTACAATTTATCCCAGCTGTTGATGAAATAAATAGCTTGGTGTTTGTGTCCCCCAATTCAAGGAGTGGTGTAACTGAAATATCCTTCTTACTCCACCATGAGATCCTGGCTCTTTGGCTACATAAAGGACATCCCCACCATTATCATATGCCTTACTCCACTCAACCTAGCTCCGGTAGCATCTAACAAAGAGCAGAACAAAAATGTTATCTACACAGCAGCCCACCGAGAACAACAAAAATACCCCAGTGACACATCACACAGAAATGCCTTAGAACTGAAAGCCAATAGCACAAATATGCTCGAAGTATTTCTTCTGCCCTTCCTCTCTGGTGGTTGCCAAGTACTATTTCGGGGCAATCAGAGGCCCTCTCGTTTGGCTGAGTCATACGTTATCTTAACTCTTCACGGTTGTCCACGAACTAGCGCTATTCCAAGACAGGAAAAGCAGGGAAAGGGAAACCACTCTTTGAAGTTTCATAGGCCTCTCCAAAGAGAAGTTGATCATTTACTGCACCCGACTAAGAAAGGGGTTTGGAGGTGACAAGAACACACCGCTGGGCTCCCCTCGCCCTGCACGCAGCAATTCCAGCTGCGCCCATCGCGGGCAGAGCGCTGCAGGGGCTGGGGACGCGCTTACACACTCACCGTGACACACGGCACCGCGCCCGCAGCGCCTGAGCCGCCTGTCACAGCCCCACGAGCAACGCGATTTCCCCCGTGGGTGCTGCAGGCAAAAGGCGGAGACCGAACAAAGCCGGGCGAGGACCGGCGGGGCTGCAGGGCAGCGGGCTGCCGGTGCCACCGCCGCCTCCCCCCCGCCAGGTCAGGCCGCCGGCCCGCGGCGGGGAGGGCGCGGGCCCCGGCAGGCCGCACCGAGCCGCCCTGCCCGCACCGGGGCCGGGGGACACCGCCCCCCGCCGCCACCTTCGGTTTCCGCTTCCCGACATGGCCGCCCCGAGCCGGGCCCGGGCCCAGCCCCGACCCCGCCGCCGTTACTGGAGCGGGGGCCCCGCCGCGGCGTGGGCGATGCCCAAGGGAGGCCCCGGCCCCGCCGCCCACCCCCGCCCCCCGGCAGGGAGCGGGAGCCCCCGGCGCCGCGGCCACTTACTGAGCTCGTCCTGGGCGGCCGCGGCGGCTGCTGCCATGTTGTCGGCTGCGGAGGGAGGGGAGGCGGCGAGACACGGCCCCGGCCGCTCCCCGCCTCCCGCCCCTCGGCTCCGCACCGGCACAGGCACCGGGCCGCCTGCCGGCTCCCTCTCCCTCCCCCTCCTCCTCCTCCTCCTCCTCCTCTTCTTCCTCCTCCTCCTCCTCCTCCTCCTGCCTGCTCTCCCCAACGCAAACCGCCGCGAAGGACGGCGGGGCCCGGCGGCGCCCGCCCTCCCGTCACCACCAGTTTATATTTAGAAAGAGCTGAGCCATCGTCCCCGCCGCCCGCCCCTGCCGCGCACACGCCCCGGCCGGCCGGCGCCGCTCGGGCGCGGCGGGGGCTGCACCGGCCGTCCCCGCCCGCGGCTCCCGAGGGGCCCCCGCAGAGGGGCGGCGGGGCGGCACTGACCCGAGTCCGCGCTGACCTCCATGGCGGCCGCGCACGCTCCGGCAGCGGCGGGAAATGCGCCGGGAACCGCGGGCGGCGCAGCGGCGCCCCCCCTCGGCTGCCGTGGCCGCCGGCAGCTCGCGGGCGGCGAGCCCCGCCCGCAGCCGGTGCAGCCACGCCCACAGCCTGCCATAGCCCCGCCCACAGGCCGACGGAGCCCCGCCCACCGCCCGGCTGCCCGCCCCCCTGACAGCTCTCCTGGCACCTCTGTCTCCCGTGCTGAGGCGGCGTGGTCAGCATGCGTGACAGACATACTTAGGAATAGCTTTTTTTTTTGTTTTTTTGTTTTTTTTTGATAGTTCAATATCCTTGCTGCTGAGCTATTGTATTCCAAAGTCATTAACTGATGGGAGAAAACTGTCTTGTAAGATACTTTACGTGCGCATGTGGGGCTGCTAAACTCACAGGGGAAAGGTGTAACCACCGCAAAGCGTCTTTCTCCTGAGTTCATCGGTGCAACGTGTAATCTCCGTAATGAGCATATTGGCAAGACAGTAAAGAGACACCCCTGGAACACAACTGACCCATTTGCCAGGATTTTTAATGCTGCCTGCAGGTGGCTTGGGGCCAGCTGGTGACCTCTCACTGCGGCTCCAGAGCCAGTTTTCCCTTGCAGAAGTGAGCCCCCTCGGGTAACAAAGAACAAGCTTCTATCACAACTCAAAAAAAAAAAAAAAAAAAAAAAAAGTGACAAAACTGGCTGTGGACAATTTTTGCTTTATTTCTTTCTTAAGCTCAAGGTCTGAGGAGTTGAATGTTAGCCTCTGACACTGAGAGGCGGGACTCTAACAAGCTGCAAAGAGGTGGAATATTTTGGGGGAAGTAGATTTGGGACTCATCTATCTCTGGAGGAGATGATAAACATTTATTAATGCAAACAGGAGACAGACAGAGGAGGCCAGACTAGGCATACTCATTTCTAGCAGAAAACCAGCTTGTGCTCCACGATGAGCTGAGTACTTTTGTGGCATGTATTCCCCAGCATCAAGCATAAACCCAGTTTTCCTGGGAAAGGCTCGATATCGAGGCGACTTCCCACCCAGCTATCTGAAGCAAAGGTGCAGTCCTCATTTCCAAAGCAAGGCTTTGGTTAGAAACGGTCTAAGAGCCGCTACAGCAGCTGTGAGGCCCAAATGCCTGTTCTGAAGGATTTTAACACCCTTCAGCGGCAGCAGCAGCGCTGTCCAGCGTTACCTTCCGCGGGGCAAGTGCGCAACGGCCGAAGGTGTTTGGGGGGTCTGCCGGCTGCGCCACGCCGGTCCAACGCCCCACACCGGGTCCGGGCGGTGTTTCAGAAGATCCTCCGCTGGCAGATACAGCGAGCGGCAGCGGGCTGAGGGGAGTTAGAGGGTTGAAACGACCGTCCGGGCGCTGACATGGCGCTGCCCGCCTCCGCCCCTCAGGGACCCCCCCCGCCCCCACCGCCCCCACTCCCTCACGCACAGCCCCGCCCCCCCGCGCAAGCGCTTGCGCGCGGGCAGGGGGGGCGGGGTCCCGGCACGCGGGGGCGGTGGCGGCAGCGAAATGGCGGCGGCGGCGGCGGTCGGGCGCGCAGTGCCGGCGTGGCGGCGGCGGCTGCTGTGCCTCTGTGTGTGCGCCGCGCTGCTGCTGCTGCCGGCGGCGCGGGGCCTCACCGAGGGGCTGTACTGCGGCCGCCGGGTGTGCTACGAGGTGCTGGGCGTCAGCCGGCAGGCCAGCAAGGCGGAGATCGCCCGCGCCTACCGGCAGCTGGCCCGCAAGTACCACCCCGACCGCTACCGCGGGGAGCCGGCCGCGCTGGGCGGCGGCCCGCAGGCGGCACACGAGAAGTTCCTCCTCATCGCCACCGCCTACGAGACGCTCAAGGTGAGAGAGCGGGGACCGCCGCCGCGGCCGGAGCCGCTCCGGTAAGAGACAGCGCGGGGGGCCGTGCGCGGGGCGGCGGCGGGCCGGGGAGCGGGGCGGGCGCCGCCGCATCCCTCGGCGGTCTGCTGTCGGGAACGGAGGCGGCGACCAGGCGGGTAGGTGCGGGACTCCCCCCCCCCCCCCCCCCCCCTCTGCTTATTGGGGCCTCAGTCGCCCCCACGGGCGGCGGCACCGAGCGGCCGCGCGTGGATCTGAAGCCGCGTCGCGGCGTGGAAAAAGGCGGCGGGGAGGAGGTGCGGGGAGCCCCGGCTCGCCGGCTGCGGCGGTCCCCGGAGCGCCGGTCGGGAGACGCGGCTCAAGCGGCGGGGCTCTGCTCGGCTTCGGCCGCGCCCCGGAGCGGGACGAGCCGCTCGGGGCGCGCCCAGCGCGATGCGCGGCGGCACCGGCGGGGGTTGCGGGTCTTGGTGTGGGCTGAGCCGCCCGGCTTCCGACCAGGGACGGGAGGGGAAGAACGTCCCCGAAAAACCTTCGGTGGCCCGTCCAAGAGTGCAGCGAGGAGCACGCAGTTCTCTTGAAGATCCCCCTTGCATTTAGGAGGTGCGCTCTTGAAGATCCCCCTTCTATCTAGGAGGTGCTCTCTTGAAGATCCCCCCTGCGTTATTATTTAAAACGAACTGACCGGGCTTTATCTTAAAGGTATAACTTTAAACAAGAAAGTAACGGTGACTTGGAGAATCATGTGGGATCTGCAAGGGCAGCTTATCGGGCAAAATATGTGTGGCTTGGCAAAGACAGAACTCGGGAATGGAAGAAGGAGACCTCTGAGTGTCTTAAGGCCACAAGGGAGCAAAGAGGGAACTTTTTTGGAGGTAGGAAAGGAATGCAGTTGAGGCTGACAAAATTCAATTTCTCATCTCTTAATTGCCTGGATGAAAACAAGAAAAACTCTGAGAAAATGAGAACAATGAGGTTTTGAAATGGCCTTCCATTGGACAGATTCCACAGCCCTGTGAGCTAATTCTAAAAGATTTGTGAAACAGTCTTTAATAAGTTCTTCATCTGAAAATCTTTTCCTAAGCAGTATTTATTAACTCTAGTCCATCTGGATTTCCCATTCTGAAGTTAAAAATACATAGATTTCAGTTGCCTGTCTTTTAATTCAGTATTAAATGCCTTCATGCAGTGTGTGCTTATGAATTTAAGACCACATATGTCAGATGTGTGTGGGCAGATGAATGTGAGAACGAATTGAGAATATGAGAAAAGGACCAGAGATTTCCCTCTGTGCTTCATATTCCATTGGGCTATTGTCAGTTCTATAGCAGCGTGGTCATGAATGAGGTGTAAACCACAACTATAACAGGGTAAGTGAAAACAGGAATCTGAACCTATGTGTGTTTTTTGTCTCATCCTGAAGGATGAAGAAATGCGCAAAGATTATGACTACATGTTGGATCATCCTGAAGAGTATTACAGGCATTATTATCACTACTACAGCAGGAGATTGGCACCGAAAGTGGATGTCAGAATAGTGATTCTGGTTACGGTGTGTGCCATCTCTGTGTTCCAGGTAAAATTTCATGTTTATGTGACACTGCTCATTGGGTTTCTGAATGGGAAGAGAAGTATCTGCAGCTGTCGTAACATGCCAGTGAGGAGGCCTGCTCCTGCCTGCTGAGGTAAACTTCTGTGTGGTGTCCATAACAAACCTGAAGTCAGGATTGACGGAGCGGATTTTTGACTGCCCTTGGGTACCTTGGACAAAGCTAGTTAAGTTTCTCTTTTAGGTAGGATATCTTCTAGAGACAAGTGTAGCTTTTCTAAGGAAGTTACTTAGTTCTTCGTGACAGACTCAGAATAGCCTGTTCCTGAGCACAGGCAGGACTAGTGCTCCAAATAAGTGTCTGTCAGTTTGTCAAGCTGCATAACTATTTTTTTTAAAAAACAGACTAATCGCAAACTCAATTCAAGGCTCCATTCAGATGATAGGACTGAGTATCAGGAGTTTACTTATTTATGAATCTTACATTGCAGTATATTTTAAACACCATGATGAAGTCAGAGAAGTGAATTCAGTTCAGCAAAGCTTGCTCTGAAGGTTGTAGATCCAAGGTCAAGAAAACAGCTTGCATTTTAGATGAGAAAACGTGCAGTTTCTCACAAATATTTAAGTGGAAGAAGATACATAACTCTTTTCTTTAGGATCTATTAGATTACTGGTTCAAAATGTCATTAAAAATACCCCAGAAATTTAAGAGATGAAGATGCAGCTTATTCTGTGGTGCAGATAGCTCGCTATTTAGTGGGATATTGGAATCTAAATCAAAAATATGTTGATCAAAATTTGAGAGCTTGGAATAATAAATTCCAATGGCATATGTAGCCAAATACTTAATTTATCTTCAGACATACTTCCAATGTCAAAGTTTTATTTCACCTCTTATTTCTTACTTTGGCTGTAAGAGATGACACTCACTTTCCTGCAGCCCAGCTGCAAGATGATTGCAAATTCAGTGTGAACATACACATAAGCTGATTTGCCCCTCTTAGTTTCTGTTTCTGCTTCTTGGCCTTTGGTAAGGTTGTATAATGTGTAGATGTCTGCCCTTTGTCCTGGTGAATGGTGTGAAATGATGCTTTTTAAAAAAAGTTGCCTCAACAGGACATGTTCACCTCATGCGCTATATTTCTGGTTTGTTTGGTGGTTCATTGTCTTCCCGCCCCCCCATTGAAATTCAGAGGGTATCTGGACATTAGAGAAAGATGTTGATTCTTGTAAAGTGAAGCATGTCAAACTAATGAGATTGTAAGGTAATTAATTCACGTTAAAATTGTTGCCCATTTAAAATAGTTAATAATGAATGTTCATATACCAGCTATTTCATTTATAAATCCAAGGGGGCTTCTGAGAATGCCAGGCACAGCTAAGTATTAACTTCCAGGACATTACCATCTTCTCATGAACAAAACCAATCTGGACAGTGTCTGACTGTCCTTCCTCATCACTGTATGCAGCTGTGACATATACAACTATATATCTAATTTCCAGTTGCCTTGCTAAGTTTGGAGGAATAATTGTAGCTGTTATAATACTGCAGAAGTATTTCTATTACCTTCAGTTTTTACCCTTGCTGGGATGCAAATGTGGTTAAAGATATATGACGTTATTTTTTTCTCCTGCCAAACTTCCAAATAGGAATGTGTCTGTATAAAACCACGTTTTTTACTTTTGCTGTTCTTCAATTACAGTTCTTCAGCTGGTGGAGCAGTTACAATGAAGCTATCAACTACCTAGCTACAGTGCCAAAATACCGTATACAGGCTACTGAGATTGCCAGGCAACAAGGTTTACTCAACAAGACTAAAGAAAAAGGCAAGAACAGGCGGTCTAAAGAAGAAATTCGTGAAGAGGAGGAAGAAATAATCAAAGATATTATTAAAAATAAAATAGAGATAAAAGGCGGTTATCAGAAGCCCAAGATATATGATATCCTTCTATTTCAGATCCTTCTTGCTCCTTTTTACTTGTGCAAATACATAGTTTGGTACATCTGGTGGTTTTATTGTTTCACTATTAAAGGGCAAGAGTATGGTGTGAAAGAGAAGCTGTATATCATACGAAGGTACATGAAAATGTCTCAGTCTCAGTTTGACAGCCTAGAAGATCATCAAAAAGAGACCTTTCTTGAACGGCAGTTGTGGATACGAGAAAACTATGAGGTGGGTAGCTCTGGTGGAAAAGCTAGTGTTGGTTATCTGGTGTTCCCAGATTAAGAGCAGATCTTATATGAAGGTGCTTGGGATGGGGCTGTGTGAAGCATTGCTTCAATTTTAGCTACTGCTTTCTAAATTGAAAACTATTAGACAACCACTTGGTATGTTTTCTTCAACTTCTCACGCTGATGAACTGGTAGGTAACAGTTGCTGACCATGCCTGTGGATACTGGAAGGGATTTGCTTGGATGGGGACAACTACCTGTGATGGTGAGGGAATCTGTGTACACAAGATTTAGTTGAATATGATGAAAGACTTTCTTATAATAATGTTGTATGACAAATTCATTACAGTAGGTTGAAGACTGTTCTCCAAATGGTATTAATTTGTAATGAGAATTGCTTGGATCATTTAAAACTATTTAATGAGCCTAAGCCATTAATTCATAGCCTGTTTTTTAAAAAAAGTATCCCTTGATATTTCTTGGGCCTTCAGTGAGTCAGGGACTGCTCTTGCTGTGCTGTATACCTATTCAAGTATATGTGCCCAATGGTATTTCATATACCATAACTGCTATTCTTGCTATGGATAGCCAGCTACTAGTCAACTTGTAAGGTGTTTTTTTTAAGCTTTCTGCGAGAGCAGTGAAAGAACATTAGCCACAGCATGGAATTTGCTGTCCAGAATGCTTTGGGATGCTGGGGGGTGGCAGATTGACAAAACACTGTTATTGTTCCAAAGAAGCTCATCTGTGAGCCATCTGGATGGGAGGTTTCTAGAAGAGAAATAGAATACAAACTTGGCCTGCTTAAGGGGAAGAGGAGATGTTGCTGCTGCTCTGCATATGCTGGGAAAAGCAATGGGATGGTGACAGAACTGCCTTTGCTGCTGGCAGGGCACCAAAGATAAGAGAATGCTTCTTCAAAAGCAGGCAGGGATAAATTAGTCTAGAAACTAGTACATCATGGAGCTCCACAATGGTGGTGTTTCTTTTTTCCCTCTGTTACTTTCCTAATAATTCTTAAAACCTGTATGATCAGTGAACATTGAGCTGGTGCATTTATGAAGCCATCTATTAATATTTTTTAAATCTCGTTCATGAATAGCAGAACCTGATGTTTTAATTCCCTTCCAGAAAGTAGTCAGATGACAAAACCCTTTATGGTATTGAGATTTACACTGGCTGTATCTACATGAACTGCCTTCCAGAATAAAAATGCAGATGCTGTTGCTTTTTTTAGATACTTCACTTTGCTGATCTTGTCTAATTCATGAGCATCTAGTTCTATAGCAAAAAAAGTTTTGGAGCTTGAAGCACCGCCTTACAAGGAGGCCGTTCTTCTCTCTTCAAAAATGCAGAGCATCCCAACTGCAGCCCAGTAGGCTCTTCAGCCAAAGGTACTTCTGCACTTTATGTTGGTCAAGGTCGTCTTCTATGTTGCAATTCAGCCATCTGTAAAAACAATAAGCTGGTGAACGGTTAAACTAGGAATGCTTACACCTTCCTTGAGGTTCACTTAAGCTATTTCTTCAGCCTTATTAAAAACTTGTCTGTCTAACAGGTCTATAAGCGAGAACAAGAGGAAGAGTTAAAGAAGAAGATGGCCATGGATCCCCGATGGAAGAGATATCGTCGGTGGATGAAAAATGAAGGACCTGGAAGACTGACTTTTATTGATGATTGAAAGTTGCTGAACAAAATGTGTGTAATGTTGAAAGTGATTTGCAAACTTTTCACTACATCATTCAGAGTTTTGTCTCCTGTGGCTCAGCAGTGACCTAAAACTCAGGAATTACTAAATCAGGCCGAAAAATAATACAGGTTTACCATTTTTATAAATCAGACCTATTAAACAGGCTCAGCTGAAAGTGTATATACCATTTACTTGGGGATCTTAGTGTGGTATCCATTATTCCAAACAGTGTATTTTCTCTACATATTTCATATTCATGTTCAATGGAACCATAAATTTAGTCTTTCTGAAAATATTTCTAGAACAGTCCTTGAAAGTTCTGTTTTTCCTCTTTAAACTGAAAGTTTCCTGCAAGCGGACACTGGAAATGCTTATAAAGGCTACTGAAGAAAGGGCCGTTTTCTGTTTTCCCCTCTCTTCCCTCTACTTTTCAATCTCATTTCTAAGGTGCCAAATGCTTCTATGATTTAGATAATATGGGGATTATACCAGACTACTTCTTTTGCTATTGCTGCTCCAGCTGGAAATTAGTTTTATTCTTTGAGGGAATAAATGATGTATGGTTGATCATTGTTGTGATGCAAACAAGCCTTAATTCTTTGTTCTACAGAGTGATTCATGAAATAGTATGCTTAGATATTTTGCGTTTTTTTTTTTTTTTTGTCTTGTATGTTGGATTGTACCTACTTGTTCAGAACAAGTATACCAGTGAATTTTGGTCTACTAAATGTGACATTTCTTTCACCAAAGTATTGGTAAAAGGGAAAATGACCCTTTTTTTTCGCAAAAGGGCAATTTTGATGCCTTATGTAAATAGAAGTTTATGTAATATACACACTGAATTTGTTTTAAATGCTAAATCTAAAGTATTCTTTATATCTTCTGATCAGACCTCTGAGTACTTAGAATAAATAATGCACAACAACATCATGCTGTGGTTTCTTTTGTGACTTGGCCTAGGTCAGGGTTTCCATGATTTGCAGGTAAAAAGTATTCCATATTTCTATTCAGGAATTTTACCAGGGGAGGGGCAGATGGGAAACTTAGAGAGATTGAGCTTCTCCTGTTGTTTATCACATCTGTGAAAGCAAGTTCCTCAAAGTATTTGTTGGAAACAGTGCTAGGTTAGCTGGCATCTGGGGAGGTCGGTTCTGGGAGAGAAGCTCTTGAACTTGCCAAAGGCCATAATAGCTAAAAGTTTTAAAATCCTTAATGATTAATTTTTGAGGCAAGACTTTTTTGATTCTGTAAAGGCAACCTGTCCTCATTTTTTGAGAGAGCTTGTTCTCTATGGTGCTTTTGCTAGTTTAGCTTTTACTTGTTCTTGGAAAGTTGTCCCAGATTTCTCTTTAAAATAATGCCTACTCAAAAGTATGTCAGAAGTTAGCTAAATGGCTAACTTCTGCATGCATTAGTAAAATTGAAGATGAATTGCTAGATTGTCCCTTATCTCTGTTGCACATAGTGTAGCTATAAATTCACTGTACTTAATGGCCAATTCAAATATAAAACTTGTTAAAAAAGGTATCCAGAAAAAGCTGTGCTTGCTTTCATTAAGTAATATTGGGGACACTGTAGTGGTGGGGCAGGGACACTGCAAAGATGTTTGTGAAGCGAGATACTTTCACAGCTTGGGTGTATTGCTGCTTCATCCCCCAAAACAGCCTGCAACAGTGGAAGAGGGAAGATGCTGTGATAGAAACAAACAGAATAAAGGTAAGCACAAATAAAATGGTGTTGATTTTTAGGCAAGACAGTTGTATCTGCAAAAGAACCAGGCAAGTGCATGCAGGAGGATCTAAACCTGTGGCCACAGTTTCACAGGCTAACAGCCCTGCTGCCGTTGTGCCTCATTTTGCTCCATCCTTTCCCTCCCAAGCCAAGTATTTGGGTTATGCAAATAAGCAGTCAAAACACAGGTATGTTTTTCCTATTTTGCCTGGGTTAGTTCTAATAAAAATTAATTTCCTGACCTGACACTACAGCAGGAAATAGGTGCAATGGTGGGGCAGTACCTGGGGAAGACAGAACTGTGTCTTTCAGCAGCAAGAGTGTTTTGTCTGTAAAACTCGCCTGATGCTGAGTGGGGAAGGCAAAGTCGGTAGCTATTGTATAACATGCTGGAAATGAGCTGTTCAGCAGCTTCAACTTGGATTTCCCTCTTTTCTTGACATATGAGCCCTCTGAAAATATCCAGACACAGATATAAATTAATGAGCTGCAGCAAAAATCTGCTGTGCAGTGACATGGCAGTCACAGCTCTGTGATGAAAGATAGAAAAAACTTGTCTGCCTTTACAAAGCTGTCAGTGTTGCAGTGACACCTCATTAGCTGAGGCTACTGAGCATTTCTAGCCTAACATCTCATTGTAGTTCTAAATTATGTCTGTCTTCTGAGCATAAATTTTCAGGCCCTATTTTATCTTGAAATAAATTTGACAAAGCAATTATACACATAAGAAAAAAAAAAAAAAAAAAGCAGGAGTAAGACTTTTGGTAGTTATACTATACCTAGTAAAGCCAGTGTAAACTGAGATGACTTGAGAGACAAGTATTTGCATGAATGAGCATTGCTGGTACTGGATAGCAGTGAGAGCTTTGTGTGGATGTTGTGGTTTATGTTCAGAGGGAAACTGAGCACCCCACAGCTGCTCACTCACCCTTTCCCCTCCCAGTGCTGAAGAGAAAACAAGCAAAGGCTCATGATTTGAGCTAAGGACAGGGAGGGATGTCTCACCCATTATGGTCATGGGCAAAAGACAGACTCGTTAGGGAAAGAAAAAGAAGAATATAAACTTAATACAGACACTAACAACAACACTTTACAGAGAGAGTAGGACAGTGAGAAGCATTGCCACATCTTGAGAACTCCTTCCCCCCACCCCTCCCTTCTTCCTGGGCTCAGCTCTGCTCCCGATATCTCTACCTCCTCCCCCAGCGGTGCAGGGGCAGGGAATGGGGGGTGCAGTCAGTGCTGCCACTTCTTCCATCTTCGGTGGGGGGAGCTTCTGGAACTTTTCCCCCTGCTCCATCATGGTCCCCCTCTCACAGGAGACAGTCCTCCACAAACTTTCTATGATATGAGACCCTCCCACAGGCTGCAGCATTTCCCTCACTGCTCTGCCATGGGACACCAACTTTCTCTGATTTGAGTCCTTCCCATGGGATGCAGCCCTTTCAGAGCTGTTTCAGCTTGGGACACCCCTGCATGTTGCAGTCCTCCCAGTGCCAATCTACAACAGTGGGGGCTTCTTCTTCCCATAGGATCCCAGCCTCCTTTGGGTGCAATCACCTGAGATAGCATGGGGTCCCCCACAGCCCGTATGTCGGTATCTGCTCCACTGTAGACCTCCACGGGTGGCAGGGCGGGGGGAGGCCCTGCTGTCTGACCACAGAATGCAGGGGGGTCTCTACTCCAGCACACCTCTACCATACTTCGTCCTCCGTTCTTCCACTGACCTTGGTGTTCAAGTAGATGTTGAAACTCCTCCTCACAAGTCCCACTCCTCCTCTCAGGTCCCCTTATTAAATATGTTTTCACAGAGGCACAACCACCATCGCTAATTGGCTCGGCCCTGGCCAGAGGCGGGTCTGACTTGGAGCCAGGGGAGCTTTGCGAAGCTTCTCACAGGGGCCACCGCTGTAGCCCCCTCCCCTGCCACCAAACCCCACTGAACCCCAGGACAGTGGAAAAGTTTGGCAAGGCAATAGGTTCTTCTCCTATTGGCTTTTATACAAAGAACTGCATCTGTTTTGTAGCATATATATACTTTCAGATATATAGTGTGCGTAAAATGAGACATGTATTTCACTCTACGCAAAAGGTATTCAGAGCCAGGACCTTGCACGTTCACTGCAAGACTTTTCCATGACCATGCCGAGGCTTTGACTGAGGCCCAAGCACATCCATGGCTGCTGTCCTTATCTTCAGAGCAATCAGTTGAGGCTGTGAGCTTCATCCCACTAACTTTTTAACAGGCCAACAAACTCTGATGGCTAGCAAACCCCCATTGAAAAGTGATTTATTTATGGTCACCAGTGAAACAGTAGTAACGGTGGGAGGGGGATGCAGCCACGCTGGCAGCAGCTGCTGGGCAGTTTGAGCTGAACAGCTGCCTGTGGGCAGACTGGGCTTTTTGTTAAACTTTTGCAGGACATTTCCTCGCTTTTCTTATTTTTTCCCTATTCTTTCTTTTTATTCCCATCCTACCCCCCCTTCTCTTTCTCTGTCCTTCTTTCCTCCCATTCTTTTTCTTCCCCCCTTCTTTTTGCTTTCCCCCCTTCTTCTTCTTTTCTCCCCTTCTTTCCCCCCCCTTTTTCTCACTTCCCCTGCTGCCTTCTTGTTCCCCCCCTCCTTCTTTCTCCACTTCTTTCCCCCCTTCTTGTTCCCCCCCCCATTCTTCTTGCACTCCTCCACTTTTCTCCCCTCTTCTTGTTTCCCTCTTCTTGCTTCCCCAGCCTTCTTCTTGTTCCCCACCTCCCTCTTTCTCCCCTTCTTCTTTCCCTTCTTCTTGCTTTCCCCCACTTCTTGTTTTCTCCCCTTCTTCTTGTCCCCCCCCTCCTTTCCCCCCTTCTTGTTTTCTCTCCTTTTTCTTCTTCCCCCCCCTCCTTTCCCCCCTTATTGTTTTCTCTCCTTTTTCTTCTTCCCCCCCTCCTTTCCCCTCTTCTTGTTTTTCTTGTTTTCTCCCGTTTTTCTTCTCCCCCCCCCCCTTCTTCTTGCTGCCCCCCGCCTTCTTCTTGTTTTCTCCTTTTTTTTCGCCTTTTATCCCCTTCTTCTTGTTTTCCTTCCTGTCATATTTTAACCAAGACGGTTTTGTTTCCCGGGAGCGGCGGCAGCCCCCGAACGGGGCGGTGCCGGCGGGGGGGGGGGGGGGGGCTGAGGGCGGAGCGGGCCCCTCCCTTCCCCATCTCCCCTCCCCGCCGCCAAACCGCGCCGCGCCCCGGGGAGCTCCGCCGGGCTCCGCCGCTCCTTCTCCCGCTCCGCGCCCTCGCTCCGCGCCCGCGGCCCCGGATGGCGTCGGGCGGCAGCCTGAGCACCATGCAGCGGCTGGTGGAGCAGCTGAAGCTGGAGGCGGCCGTGGAGAGGATCAAGGTGAGCCGGGGCGCGGGGTGCCGAGCTGCCCCTGCGAGTCGGGAGCAGGGGGGCGAGGGGGGGGGGCAGTGTGCCCTGGGGCCGGGGGGGGATGGGGGGGGGGAGTGTGCCCTGGGGTGGGGGGGGTGAGGGGGGGAGTGTGCCCTGGGGTGGGGGGGGTGAGGGGGGGAGTGTGCCCTGGGGTGGGAGGCGGGAAGGGGCGGGGGGGGGGGGGGGAGTGTGCCCTGGGGTGGGGGGAGTGGGGGGGGTGGCGGGCGTGTCCGAGCCGGCTCCGCGGGCGCGGCGGAGTACGCGGCGTTGCCGGGCGGAAGGAGCTGTGATAAATAATACAGCAGCGCCTCATTAATTCTGCAGGAGCAAGCGCGGTAGCCGGGAGCGGGTGCTCCCCGCGGAGCCAGCCGGCCGCCCCCCGCGCCGGAGGGGTGTGCGGGGGGGCGGTGCGCTCCCGGCCAGCCGCAGCGCCGGGGGAAGGCCGGCGGCCGGCTACGCTCGCACGAACCTTCTCCCGCTTGCACGTTTCCAGACAAAGACAAGCGAGCCAGGCGGTCGAGTCAGCTGCCAGCTCCCGAGGTTTGGGTCTGGTTCTTTTTCTTTTCGCCCGGGCAATCCGAATTCACCCGTGCAGACCCGCCCGAGACAGCTCTTCGGCCCCAGCAGCGGGGCGGGGGTGTCCGCAAGTGCTTTGCAGAAAAGACTCTTTCCAGCTGCACGCAAAATCCAGCGTAGGCTGTGGAGTGATGAAGGTCAAATTAATTTGTATCCTGCACTTTCCTCTTCTCTCATCATCACCTCCGTGCATTCGCCGTTTTTCCTTTGGCCAGTCACAAAACACCAGCTTCCTCTGTCTGATGACAGCCCAATACCGATGACAGGAACTTAGCTAATTTATTTTAAAATAATTTAGAATACCTTTCCTCACTATTCCTGTCACGGGCTGATGAAAATTTGAAGTGTCCAATGCAAGGTGAAACCACTATGGCTTTTGGACATCATCCTGATCAATTCGTTAATGTTACTAAATGGTATTAGCAAATAATGCATCAGCAGATGTTTGATTCACTAAAAGTGACTATAGTTTATCACTGCAGCGACATGGGAATCTGTGAAAAGTGGCACGATGCAGAGTAGAAATGTAGGCTCTTGTAACAAGAGGGATGTTGTCTAACACAGAAATGATTGACCGAACATTTCTGTTGCTTTATACTACCAGCAATAGCCTGCATCTCTGTTCCTGCTCATTTTGAGGCACGTACCCCATCCTTGCTTTTTTTAGGGGGTAGGAAGGGGATATAAAAATGCTAGTTTCTGGTTTACTGGGGGTTATTTTGTGGAGATAATGTGTTCTGGAGCTGGACTTCTCAAGGCTGCGTGTTTATTACAGGTTTGCTTGTACTCCAGGGGAGGCTTGGCCTTGATGAGACCTCAGTCTCATCTTTCTTGCAGCATAGTGCACAGCAGTCTCTTTCCATATCTGCTGTTCTAGGAACCCTTTCATGTCTTTTTCACAAGTGAAATGATGCATGATTAAAAAATGTGTCTTATAAAAAGTGTTATCTGGGTTTCTTGATATGCAGTGTAAAAACAGGAGTATATTCAGCTGGTGAAAAAACGCTTGGATCCATTTTAACAAACACTGAGGAGAAAACATTGTTTTGGCTACTTTGAATAGACAGTGTGTTTTCAGACGGAAGCTGGATATTAAAGGATTTTTAAAAATACATCCCATACTACAAAGTTCCAGTGGCGGTTTTGTTTACCCTGCCAGCTAAAAAAGCAAACAGGAACAGTATTTTCAGAAAGAGGAAACCAAGTAGGAAAGAAGTACCCACACATGTCTTGCACGCAGGAGTCTGCTGCAGGGAGCGTGTTTGTCCTGTGATGAAATATGGCAGAAACTCTTGTACTTTCTGTGTGGGCTGGAGGAGTGAAGAATGTTTTAGGGGCATAGGTAGGGCTACAAGAGCTGTCCTAGAACAACAGTCTGCTACTGTATGGGTAATTCTCACACAGATGCCAAAAATCAGGTTTGTATCTTCCCGGGAGCAGCAGTATGTACGTAGCTCAGTACGTGTTGCAGAGTTTGGTGGGAAAGTGCAAGGAGATGCAGCGAGGAGTTGCTAACTGTGCTGTGCTCGTAGGGCAAGCTGTGCCCTGAATGACCCTCTGCTCGTTTTCCCAGGAAAATCCCCACAGAGCGCAGCCTTGCCCTGATCAGTATTGGCAAGCGTCCCCTGCGCCTGATAGCCGTGGGGTGCATAGTCGGGTACCAGCAAGGGGTCACCACTGTGGTTGAGGCTGCCGGGGGTCCAAGGGGCTGGGCAGGCTGGGAGACCTTTGCAGCCTCCAGAAAGAGGTTCTCTTCAAGAAAAGGAGGAGTGACAAAGCCCACTGACTAGCAGGGATCCTTGCTGCGGATGCTTTTCCCCATAGAACCTGGGAGACTGTGGAAAAATGCTTCTCTTAACAACTCCCTGAAGTGCTGACAGCTGCCACTTAATTTTTGGCAGCTACCAGGATGAGCACCCCAGAGGAGAGTTGGGAGGCGGTGAAGAGGACAGCAGTGAAATAGCAGATGAAAGTGCGTGTGAGGATGGGTTTCCCGTGTGCTTCCAGATGCTGTGGGGTGGGACAGCCCAGAACCAAAATCCCACTGGGGGCTCGTGGGTGGCCCCTTCAGTCAGGGGACTGGGAAGTGTGGATGGTTCTTCTGCCCATTGTCTCGTATCTCTGCTGGCAGCACCGCAAAGTTGTGTAGGAACAAAAATCAGTATTTCAGGAGGTTTGTAATGAAGGCAGAGGTGAGGTCAGAGGGGAACTTGTATTCCCATCAATATGCTCAGTGTTTCCTTTTATAAAAAATGCAGCAGACAGCAGGAATTTTGACAGTTCCCTGCAGCTGCTACCAATGCATGTCTGAGAAATAGGGAATTCCTCTACGTTTTCTTTAAAAAATACAGGCACATGACTGACTGGGTGTCCTCAGGGAGACCAGAGGAGTTCAGTGCTGGAGGCACCTTGCCTTTGGGTTCCTGGGCTTGTTCTGCAGCTCTGGACAGTCCTTTTTGGCGTCCAGAGTGTGGACTCCAAGTTCTCACTTCATTGCCAGGGAAAGGTGGTAATTTGAGTTTATAAAGCTTTTCATTCTCATCTTTTTGCTTTCATTGCTTGTTATGCTCTGTGTTACCTAACAGTTTGGAAATGAAAATCCTTTTTATAAATTATCTGAGGCTATAGGAGTTCAAATATAAACCTGAAAGCAGTGCAGTAGATTGGAAAATACTATGGTCATGGCCCTGTGCGTTTTAATGAGGACAGATTCCATTGCACTTGCACCTCAGACCTCTAGACTCCTCTGGCTCATCACTGGCATAGTATTTCATGTGTGTTTCATTGGAGCTTTGTAAATGTGTGTCTGTGCTGATTTACTTGGTGATTTAGAATACAAGAGCTGACTTGGCTGCTCTCCAGCTGTTTGATAATTCTTCTTCAAGAGGAAATGCCTAATAGAAGCTCGTGAATGAATTAGTTTCCTCTCTGAGTTTGTTTTTCTTTTTCCTTTACACAGGTCTCTCAGGCAGCTGCAGAACTCCAGCAGTACTGTATGCAAAATGCCTGCAAAGATGCCTTGCTTGTTGGGGTTCCTGCAGGGAGCAATCCTTTTCGAGAACCCCGATCCTGTGCTCTACTCTGAAATCAGGTAATAAAGTCACAGATACCACGACAACAACTCTGATTTGAAATTCAAGCCCTAGAAAGGACAAGGACAGATGTTGATAGTTGTTTGAATGTTGGGCTCTTGGTAGCAAAGCGTTCATCACTTCCCTGCTTGCGGAGCCGCGGACGAACGACATGCCGAGACGAGTTCAGTGTGGGTGACAGAGCATCAATCAACTTGTGTCTTTATTGGTCCAGGGTACATATATTTATACAGACAATGATAATTATTATGCCTACTAGTCACTAGCTGATTGGCTTAAGCTCTAAAGGTCGTATTCACACGGTCCACCTACTTGCAGTTAGCTTACAGCCCAAGCTTCTCATAACACTAAGTTTCTCATGCTACTATTTCTGATTCCTGTTGACTTGTTTTCAATACACGACAGTACCGTAACACAATGTTTCTCAGACCACCGTTATCATAACACTAGGTTTCTCAGACCACTATTCCTAATTCCCCTTAGCCTGTTTTCGACACACCACGGTACACAGGGCTGAAGCGTCCTTGACATTCCTCCTGTATCAGCAGCTGCGAGCAGCTGCAGGCAAACCCTAGTGAGGCCCAGCATCAGCAGCTAGAGCAGGCTCTGATCATACAATTGCTCGGTGGGCTCAGGACCCTTGTCTCTGAGCCATTCTCCAACACCTGCTGGCTCGACAGTTTGTTTTCTGTTTCTTTTAGGTGTGACAGTTGAAGCATGTCTTCTTCCTACAGCTCTTTATAGGGTTGTTTTATTTGAGTTAGTTTTTTGTGTTTGAGCAACTCCAGGGCCATTAGCAGCATTCAAAAAAAATAAAAACTATCTGTGACACACAGCTGTATTTGACACAGCCAGACAAAAGAACCAGTCACGTACCCAGCCTGAAGAAGTAAGACAAAGCTGTGGCAGTTGCATATGTTGTGATGACTAGCTCACAGCTTAAGCAATAACCTTGCTAAAATACATTTTGTCTTCAACACCATACCGCAGTGCATTTGGCTGTGTCTGTCCTTGGGCTCTGTCTGTTGTTACTGTTGGTAGAAGAGCAGTGGAAGCAGAGAGGAGCTGAGGCAGTCTATGATCACATCCTTCGTAACTTACTTTAGCACAGGTCTAAAGGGTGAGATACTCCCTAAGCTCTGCCTGCCTTAGCGCTCTGCATTGCTCGTACCTTCATCACAGCTGCAGGGTGGGTGGGTGACCCGTTTGCACATCTTTGCAATCCAGTTCCATGATTCCCACTCTTCTCTCTCCCATCTGTCACACAGGTACCAGTGACTGCATCAGGAGGAAGACAGGCCATGTGTGCTAGTAGTCTTGGGCAGGATCACACCATTACTTTTGTTGGAAAACCTTATATCTTCTGCGTGACAAACAGATGTGGAAGTAGGATATTGAGAAGGGGTTACTCTTCTTTAAAAGAAAAAATAGAATAGCTCCTGCTAAAGAGCTGAAAAAAATACAGAGAGAGGAAGAAGCATTGTATTCTGTTATTTCTTTGACAGTGCTATCAAAGTGAAAATGAATGTTTTCTTTCAGGGCAGAATTTAGAACATACAGTGCTTGTAAAATCTTCCCCTTCCCACTCCCAGGGTTCCTAAGCTTGCAGTTGTACTTGTGCCCCATCAGTAGCATGGTTTTGGTTGTTGCTACATAGGTTTGACAAAACAGGATTGAATGTGATGGGAGGAAGCAAATGAGCATGAGATGCTTTTCTGAAAAAACTTGGGGGGGACACACACCCTTAGTTTTTCCTGCAAATAAGATAAAATTGATAGTGACTGTTGCATGTGTTCTTCTGTTATTGAAGCAACCTTTCTACATTTTCTTTTTTTATGTTTGTGTATATGTGTTTTTCTAGGATTCAAGTTTGATTGCATCATCCAGACAGGGTACAAAATATTATCTCAAATTAGCTTGATGGTTAATTTAGGATACTTTTAGAAATGCATAGCTCAGCCCAAGATGTCATTTAGTCATCTTTTGCTGATAGATCAATTATCTAGTTTATCTAGTTAACTTAGGAGCATAAAAAATGAGAACAAAGTTGAAAAGCCAATTAAAAAATTTTATAATATTCAGGGATGCCAACATCCAACAAAGGAAAGCATTTATTTATTTTTTCTCAGTGCAAATGAGTTTTTGTGTTATAATTTGTAAGAGAAATGCATCAGCTCTGGAAGACAACATTTATTAAACCTTTTTTTCCTTTTACAGGGAAGGTCTTCGGAGAGTTGCCTTCAAGCATGACATGAATAACAGCTGCCTTTCTTTCACAAGAAAAGTCTCTCTCTGTGTTCTGACTTTTGTGTGGCTAAAACAATGTCCTAGATATTTATCTGTTTGTTCTTGTGCATCTGTATTTCACTATCTTTTGCTAATGTTCTTAGGGTTTTTTAATGTAACTCTTATTCCTTTTATAATTGTCACCATTGTTACTACACTATGGTAACTATACAAATATTACTTGAGAAGTTTACATTTTAGAAAAGAAAAATACATAAATTTTTAAGAGGCTACCTACTGGTAAATTCTGGTAAACTGTTACACCTCAATGATAGCAAAAACTCTGTATTTTTCAAAAAACATCTGAAAAGTGAATCGTTAAAGTATAAAGCTAACTGTTGTAAGTACTGAAGTAATGTTCTTGGGGGGAATTTTGGTTCCATTAACAAGACCTGGAATCAACCACAGTTTTTTTGAAGTTCATCTAAGTCCATTCATGACATGTATTAGAAACTGCTGGACACAATGTATAGCACAGGCTTGATTCCTAAGGAAAGTTTGTTACAAAAATTCTGATCTGTAATACTTCTCCGAATTTGTATTTGTAAAGGTACTGCTATGGTGGAATTTCCTTGACATGTTTAAAATGTGACCAAACAGACACTAAAAATCCATGAACACCTGAAGGTAGTTGCATGCATAATTGTCAAGGTTTGCAATACACAAAATTTACTAAAATGTGCTTGGTCATTTGCCTTCAGTTTTTTTATAGAGCACTTTTACAAGGACAACTAACTTTTTTAATAGGTTTTTAATTTTGTCTACTTTCTATTGTTTGTATTAATCTTTTAGAAATTTCAAAATAAAATTCCTTTCCCTACTGGCTTTGAACTCATTGTTTAGTTGTAACAAAGACCAGATCTTGTAATGAAGAAAATTCTCTGATTTTGCAGTAGGAGGGGAGGCCTCAAGCGATTTGGCTTTTTGGGAAGAGAAGGTTGCTGTTGGATTTTTAGAAAATGTCTTATTGATAGAAAAACCCTATTTATAGCTATTTACCATTTTTGTGGTAAACAGTAACAATGTTACCAGGCTCACACATTTTTAAACTGTAAGGAAGAACTTTGCAATCTGAGTAATTTTCATTAATGCTAACTGAAATGGGGCAGTGAGTGTCCTCCAGGCAGTTCAGTCTTTATCAAAAGATTTTCATGCTTGCTGTCCTGCAGGAAGACACTGAAAGGAGAGTAATAATACTGCCAATATGTATTCAGACGCACAATACTTAAGAGAACATCCTTCCTTAAGAGCTTTTGTTTGCTCTGGCTTCCTTTCATTGTAGGCTATGTGAATATGGCAGTTTTAGTACTCAACACATGCACACAGTGTGGAAGTCTAGAGGAAGCATGGCTATTCTTACTTGCACAGAGGTGATCGGAGTCTCAGGTTGAGGTCAAAGTGCTCAAATCAAGGAGGAGGGAGAGGGATGAAAGTATGCATCAGATGCCTTTGAACAGCCAGCATCTGGCTGCTGGCCCTTCCCTCCCAGGCAAGCCCTTCGTATTTCTTTTACCTCCCCCAATAAAGCCCCGCCCCCCCCCCCCCCCCCCATTCTGTTTCTCTCCCCAGGCCCCCCTGCTGCATACGCTCGCTTGGAGCTTGGGTTCTGCAGTGACTGCTGAGCTGGCATAAGGAGCTGCCAAATTAGAGTGTGCAGGAGAGAGCAGCCACAGCTAGCCAGCCAGTCAACTGCTGGTGTCTCTTGGCTGCCCTGCCCAGCTCCACGTGGTGTCTTTCAGCTGGGGCACCACGGTCAACATCTGTTGGAGGAGCAGCACTGTGAGCGTGCTGCAGGTCCTGGCGACCTGCATGTCTTGCACTGGCAGCAGATAGAAAGACCAGTGCAGTGGGTGTGAGGTGGATTGGGAGTGCTCCACCCTGGAGTACCTACGAGTGAGGTGGTTTGAGCCCAGAGAGCAACTGAGCACAAGGCAGCCACTCAATCACCCCTTCTTCCTCAGGAATGGGAAGGAGAAAATAAAGCAAAAGGCTTGGGAATCGAGGTAAGGAGGGGTAGGGGTGGCTCACTCTTTATAATCAGGGGCAAAAGGCAGATTTGTTAGGGGAAGGAAAAAAGAACATCGCTTTAATACAGACACTAGCAACAACAACACTACTTAACAGAGTGGGACAGTCAGAAGCATGACCGCATCTTAAAAATACCTCCCCTCACCCCTCCCTTTTTCTCCAGGCTCAGTTTTGTTCCTGATTTCTCTACTTCCTCCCCTGGCAGTGGCTCAGGGAGCAGGGATTGGGCATTATGGTCAGTCTTGCTGCTCTTCCTCCTCAGCGGGAGCACTCCTTGCATCCTCCCCTGCTTCATGTGCTCCCCCTCTCATGGGAGACAGTCCTCCACGAACTCTCTGGGGTGTGAGTCCTCGCCACAGGCCGCAGCCATTCCCATGCTGCTCTGGCGTGGGTCACCCCTGCGTGTTGCAGTCCTCACAGTACCAAACTACAACAGCGGGGGCTGCTTCTCCCCTGAGTCCTGGCCTTCTTCAGGCCCAGCTGCCCTGCTCTGGCATGGGCTCCTCCAGGGGCTGCAGGTGAGTCTCTGCTCCACCTCCATGGGTGGCGGGGGGGCAGCCCTGATGTCTCACCATGGGATATGGGGTGGGTCTTTTTTCCGGCACGGCTGCCCCCCTTCCTCCTCCTTTCTTCCACTGACTTTGGAATTTGCATAGATGTCCTCCTCACAACCCCCCATTCTTCCCCCCAGGTTCCCCTTCTTAAATATGTTATCACAGAGGCACAGCCACCATCGCTAACTGGCTCAGCCCTGCACAGAGGCGGGTCTGACTTGGAGCCAGGGGAGCTTCGAGAAGCTTCTGACAGGGGCCACCGCTGTAGCCCCCTCCCCTGCCACCAAAACCCCGGCACACAAACCCGGCACCGGTGGTTACTCTGCAGGCTGACGGGAGGAAGACACGGGCTCCAGTCTCTTCAGAAGAGTGTGCTTGCCGCGTGCCTTTGCTCTCAGGGCAGCGTGGCGGCTGAGCTGCTGGGTACAAGCCGGGAGAGGGATGACAGCAGTGCCACCTCTGCCCTCCAAGGCACGGCGTCTGCTTCTGCAGGCAGCAGAACGGCGTGCCTCTTACCTGTCCAGTGAACGGGACAGTGTCTCATCTCCAGCCGCGGGTGCCCCTGGGTTTGCACTGCTTTGCTGAACTGAACACCGGGACGGCTTAGGGACGAGCATCGCATTGTGCCGCCCCTGCTCTAACCGGTGTGCTCTGCAGTGGGGTGGGCAGTGCCCTCTCAGCTTCCTTTACCAAAGACCACCCAAGGTCTCGACTCTCCACACACAGCACAGGGGCCTTCACACCAGCCTCATGGCAGCCGGTCCCACAGGACGCCCGCAGCAAAGCAAATCAAGCGGGTGCACACGCCTGCACGCTAAGTGCCTCGCATGAGCCACAAGCCTCCCGTTTCTCACCGTCACCTCTCACAGCCCACCAGCACGGCCTGTCTACATCGACAGGGGCCACCTGCCTGGTCACTAAGCGGTCTACAGATCTGACCCAAGGACTGAGTGTCCCTGCCCGCCGATGGAGGGTTGGCGATAAGTTTCTGTACTGCATCTTCCTGTCTGAGAATTAGTTGCTTCCTAATTTTTCTGTTATAGATGATTTAGGGTAAAAAAAAAAAAAAAAAAAAAAAAAAAAAAAAAAAAAAGGGCATCTCTACAGTACAATAGTAATTTTCCTCCATGTTAAACAGATGGGAGGAAGGGGGAGAATATCACATGTGACAAAATTGTCAATGTGTACATCTTTGTGAGAGATTGAAGGACATAAACAAATACAGTAAAAAACAAGTGGTCATTGAAGCCCTTTTCCTTATTTTCCATTATATTGCCAGTAATTAGCTATACACTGCCGTTATTTCTACCTAATGGAAAATTAATGCAGACAGCACTTGAATTTTCATTACTTATTTAATGTAGACAACATGCCTTTGTTTTCAAAGTGATCTATAGATTGTCTGAGCTAGTCTTCCATAACTGTTTGTGTGAAAGTTCTGGTGCCAGCCTTTGCCTGTGGAAAGTAGGACATAAATACATTGCTTGGCAGTGGCAGCTATAATTTTTTCCACTGTGGTCATCCATGACTGAGACTTTGTAGAGCTGCACTCTTAAAAGATCATATTCCTAGCCCTGGCAATTTGGGAGACGGTTGTGAAAAACAGAGTCAAATCCATGATGCAAAGGGATGGAAAATAGGTCAAGTGACCACAAAAATGGGCCACTAAGGGTAAGCTGTAGTAGAATTTCTGACAGAGAATGGCCATGATATTTTGTTGCAGGGTTTGGACAATCCAGGCCTGAGATCAGACTGCTAACAACAGCTGTTATGAGGATGACCTTGAAGGGCTGTGTCGTGAGGAACTGTCTCTGTTAATGAGGAATTTTCCCAGCTATGTATCTGGCCAAGCTAAGCACAAGTATGCAGCAAACCGCAAGATGCTTGCCTATCACAGTTTCCCTTTGGGTGCGTGATAAGTTGCTTATGACCAATAATCCAGGGGTGTGGGGCGCGTGAACAGCGGGTGCTTGCTGTGCAAAGGATATAACCAAGTGATTCGGGCAGTAGAGGGGGACGACATGGAGCCGCATCGCGGTGATTGTCGTTACTCGGGCCACTCTCCGTATGGGGACCCTCTTCAGTAAGCAAACTGCAATTTTGATTTAAGTCTTTCTCTCATTCTGGGCAAAATAGGGAAATGTTGGATTATTTGCAATTTTATTTGAAGTCTTTTTATGTTACACTTGAAAGGTGTTTTCTAAAGTCTTGCAAACCATTTGGGTACAAATAATTTGGGGATATTACTGTGAACTCAAATTGCTATTAGTGTTGTCATAATAGCTTTTGGGAATTCTCAGCTAAAAATTAGCACTCCATTTTCTCTGAGAGACCAAAGCTTCTCCCTTTAAGTGCTGGTTTTATTTATTCAAATGGTGAATATACGCTTAATGAAGACTTAATGTCAAGAAAGTATTTTACTGCAAGCATAAACTGTAAACTTGGTGGATTGTTTTTTCTTTATTTTTTCCCCTTTCTGTTATTGCATCAAACTTAAAAAGATCTGTGAGTTTGAAAACTGAATCATGTCAGCTGAAGGCCACTGAGCAGGCAATGACTTTCTGGAGCTGGCAGGCATGCAAACCATGTATGTGTTCCTGCAGCAGAATGTCTGCTGTCTACCATTGCTCCCACACATATTTTGAGTTTTGTTGCCAAATCTTTTGATGGAAAGTGAGGGTTCAGGCACTATTCTATCCTCTCCCTCTTGTGTAGCTTGCAACTGAGATGCCTTTTTTTTTTTTTTTTTTTTTTTTTTTTTTTTTAATCTCTTATTGCTTCCAGCTGTAGCTTACAATACCTGGCACTGCCTCCCAGATGACTCTCATCTCCCTGTTCGCTGATGCACTGTAGCAGGCTGAAAAATGTGTATGCCAACACATGGCCTCCACCAGATCATGGAGACAGTTAGGGTCACAACTTAGTTCTCTGAAATAAATCTATTAGAATCCTAAATTTCAACAGAACTTTCCTGTGCTGTCCATAAAATAAATAGGTTGTTTCTGCAGATTCATTATGATTAAAGGCAGGTCAGGAACACATCCCGTGGTTGCTAAAGCAGCTGTCAGAAGGAAAGAAGTGGAACTGAGCCCAAAG